TCTTACTGAGGGATACCAGTGTCCTGAAAGGATAGTGATTGTTTGTCCTCATCACATGTATGTTGTTGAGTGTGTAGGATATGACTGTGGCTTTGACAGGATCGATGAACATTCCTGTGTCGTTACACCACTTGCTCACCTTACTAAGAGATGGTTGCAGCTTACTTTGTATTTCAGTTTTGATACAGCCTCTGCTGTACATCAGAATGTCATCAACAAAAGGTTTGTGGCATCTGGTTTGACTGGCAGGGAAGGTGTAGCTGTTGAAGAATACCGGCAAGAGTGATGATGCTTGTTGGAATTTTAGGCCTAGCTGGATGTGTAGTAAAAATAACGCGGGATCCTAAAAGTGTGTATCCAACGAATGTGGTAAAAATTTCTTGAATTACCTTCTACAGTTTAAATGATAAATATATAAGCAAAATATTTATTCATAGCAACTCCATGTATATGTTAATTACCTATCACATGCTTAGTAATGTGGCTGATAAAGTTGAGTTGTGTGAGCATGTCGGTGTTTTGTCAAGAGGGATAGCACTGCCCACAAAAATCTCATCAGCAAAGGTTAACACACAGCATCTGGTTGGACTATCAATGTGAGCTGGATCCATTGTGTAGATGTTGGAGCTGATGATCCTTGTTGGCTCTTTAGGCCAAGCTCTATCTGCAACAATATGTCTGAAAATCTAAATGTATGAATTGGACTAATTGATAAATGATAAATAAATAAGCAAAATACTTACCCATAACAGATCTATGTATGTGTGAATGATAATAAATAAAAAAGTGAATGAAATGCCATAGCGTTCTAACGTTCCTTAGTTTTCCGTATTTCTTACTTTGGTACTTGAATTCCCAGAAAAAAAAAAAGCTGCTAATTTAATGACAGCTAAGTACTAAACGTACTATTCACAGTTACTTTTTTGAGGCCTAGACAGCATTAAATGGGATACAAGCCTAGATGTCTGAATTAGATTATACAATATGCCCAGTTTTAATTTAAAAGACTTGTAAAGTAAAACCAAGAATCCTAAGGGTAATACCTGCAAGTTAAGATTTTAGTAATCATCCATAAGAATCTAGGAGGCATAACACGGTAACCTTCATCAGGTCTATTCCAGAGTTAATGCAGAACTCATTTCAATCTCTAGTGTAAGAGTTGGAATTTTTTGGGATATTGTCAATAGAATAAATCATGAAGTGATACTGAATTTAACTAAACTAACATAATTTAAAGCTAAGAAATAAGGAGACTGGACACAATGTGTCACAAAAATGAGAAAAGTCTTGCTTATTATAGAAACAAAACACAGTGCCAATATTTTAATTGTGTACTGGATGGTTGCCTTTTACAGAACTCATGAATTGATTAACAGATTTTCTTCCCTCGAGATTCCTTTCCTTCAAATAACACTATCGAAACCCTGCATAGATTGTTTACGTCCATCATTCCTTATTTAATGGGAAACATAGGAGTTACCTATAGCGACTAGTGCTACCCATGTGATTGGTCATTCTCATTTAATGTAGGTGAGATCATATCCCAGAAATCTCACCTGAACTATCAATGAAAGTCACTGCTGTTGTCTACATTCTTGCACAACATGCAACACTACAGCAACGTCTCACAAGGGCAAAACAGGTTATGGTATATTGAGGATTTCCGACAAAGCAAAGAAGTTTGGGTCCACATAAGCAGGAAATTCACAAATCTCTTATGCAGATATGTTTCCCAACGGGTGCGATGGTTGTTCCATAAATAATGACACAGGACACAAATTTATACAAAGAACAAATATTTAGTAAAAATCTTCACAGTTTACAATGTAAACAAGAATGTTCGAGTATGCAATATAAGGATACAATTTATGATAGGCTTGTATGTGTGACTAACACAGACAATGAAGACAATATTAAACAATATGCTATTGCTTGAGCATGTTCTTATTCTGTAACGAGAAATCGAAATACTTACTTGGATTTCACCAACTAGTAATAATATGTACTTTAAATATAAACCTATGCTTCACTATCCTATCAAACAATTTATATAAAATTCACTGCTGAGCTTAAAGAACAATTTAATTAAATTACGGGTGAAAGCCAAACAGTACTAGGACGAATGAAAATGGAAGTTAACCCTAAAGCTATAAGAGAATTTTAGGAGCTCTCGAAGAATAAAACTACATAAACCTGTTACCAGCAATTGAAAATAAGGACTTTAATAGTTCTCGCATAGAAATTACAGTTACAGAAACACTACAAAAATATTATTTGAGCCCAAATGAAACTAACTCTGTTATTCTATGTAACGATTTACATTAATCCCTTTACAATCTACATAGGTGAAAATCTCTGTAAAATCTGGGCAAAATCTCCTAAAAATTTGCATCAAATTTACTCTCTCAGACTCCAACTTTGTTTTAAATATGGCAATAAGTCCCCAATTTCTGAAACAAGAAAACAGTGATTGGTGCTTAGATCAGTTAGCCAATGGATAGTGAAAATCATGGATAATTCAACCAACAATTACTGCCAGATTTGCCAACAATAATAACTCGGTGTTCTAATTAAAAATCATGTTGTTATTCCTGTAAGTGAATGTGACAAGAAGGCGCCTAATTTCCATTTGACCCAATTAGCCCCTGGGGAAAGTTAAAAACTTGCTTGAGCAATGCTATTTCCCAACCTTGGAGATTATACAGAAAAAACTAAAATTTAGTAAACCTAATCTTTAAGCTAAAATAAGAGGAAGTCATGTCGTACAGCCCGGTACTACAAGGTATTATGCCCAGAGAATGACAAAAGAATAAATGCAGCTAGAACAAAATCAACTTAATGGTTTTCTGCATATATTCAGAATAAACAAAGCACTTTGAAAATTCTACATTAAAATGAAAAAGCATATAATACCTGGTCTGTCTGAATACCACATTTTTATTGTAGTATTAAATTAGAGGCTAAGATTCGCTGGCGAATGCAATATGCCTCCGCCACACAATCCCAACATGACCAGTTTTGACACCATAAAAATCGTGAAAACACAGTAAAGTCGAAAACTGTCTATATCACTGCTTGGGACCTGCAAGAAGGCATTGTTGCGTAAGCGAGGTCACGTGACTAGTATCACGCCACGTACTTCTCGAACCTTCGTGAATTATCGGAAGACTACTAGATTGGGGGTAGTCTGGTATATATAAGATGGTCACAACGTGACGAGACAGTGAGTAATTGAACTGCAGTCAGAGAGAGTGTGTAATTGAAC